GTCTGCAAGGGAAAATTATCTGGATCCAAACGACATTCTTACGGTTCCTCGAGACAGACTTTTTTCTCAGGGGAAAAAAAGGGCCGATTCAAGTCTTCGTGGGTCACAACATGCTTCAGTTCACGGTTTTGGCTCGTGTGCGACCAACAAGACACCGAGTGCCCTGTTTTTGGGTTGCCTCCAGAGGACATGTGTATAATCGCACGCCAGTGGCTGCAGTTTGTGGGTGCCGTCGGCCAAAGGCCTCTCTTTGGCATGCGTTGTGGACTGATCACGCTCGGAGCAACCAGAAAAAAAAGGCAACGTCCAAAAAGTCAACATCGTAACATACGTCGGTTCACGTTTACATGCCGAGTGCAATCAAAACTGGACAATACGCTCTGCTTCTGGGACGCGAGCAGAGCGTATGTGTATGGTCACACGCCGTTGGCTGTAGTTTGTGGATGTCATTGGCCGAAAGCCTCCCTCTGGCATGCGTTTTTGACTGGTAGCGGGTGACACGCGGAGCAAACACGCGGCGGAACAAGAAAAAAAAGTCAACACCGCAACACACTTCGGTTCACGTTTACAGGCCGTGTGCAATCAAAACTGGACAATACGATCTGTTTCTGGGACGCGAGCAGAGGGTATGTATGATCACACGCCACTGGCTGCAGTTTGTGAATGTCGACGGCGTAAAGCCTCTCTTTGGCGTGCGTGTTGACTGGTCACACATGCAGCAGGCACAAAAATGGCTCTTCTCGGCCCAAAAGCAAGAACGTCAGCAGAGCAATGTGGCAGGGTTGACATTAGTTTTCGGCTCGTGTGCGGCCGACACGATGCAGAACGCCCTGAAGTGTAGATACGTGCAGAGGGTTTGTGCATGACCTCATGATACTGGCCTCTGTTTGGCCAGCAGATGGTATAGTTCCTTGTTCTGGCACGATCGGGGTGGGACCAGGGGGTGACCCCCCCCAATTCCAAACTGGAAAATATCAGCCGATCCAGTTTGGAAAATGGGCCTATTTTGCTATTTTCCAACTCGGCAGCTGGGATCCTAGGAAATATTCGGCGATTTGGAATTTGGGCGTTTGGAATAGGCCATTTTCCTCGGGAGTAAGACGCTCAAACAATTTTTTGGGCTGAGAAAAGGACCCCCCCCAAAAAAAAATCCCGAAATAATCACGACGTACGACTCGGCCTTATAAGAGGTTCAGAAATTACACATTTCTGGCGGAACATTTTTATATCACGTTTAGGTCTTCATGAAGAAATCAAATCGCGATTAATAGATAAATATAAGACTAAAAGAGTTGGATCTGCCCAAATCCGAAGTGAAATGGTATTTGACTCTTACTTAGGCCATTTCTTACGGTTATCGTTTTTGGGCTGTCTTTTTCTTTGTTCCTTCTCAAAAAAAGACGACTGGCCACAGAACCCCTTCTTACGGTGTCTAAAAGGCCGACAATAAATGACAACCCGTTTTGGACAGCCCTTCCTGTCTTTTCTGCGGCAGTTTTGGATAAGTCGGGGCTGTCAAAAAAAATATATATTTTTTTGGCCACACCCACATGACTCTTACCTACAAACTTGAATCTCGCCACGGTTCATCCCCGCAAACCCTAACGGTGGTCACACGAGTTGTGCCATGTGGCTGGTACAGAGTCGGTAGCACCGGCGGTAGCCGTTGTTTTTTCATTCGGCTGGACCAGGTGGACGACTCGATATGTGCGGCAAATAAGCGGCAAACAAGCCGAGGGAGCCTGGACGCAGCAGCGGTGGGTCATTTTTCGTGTACTGTCAACATTGCGAACCCAACTTCTGGGCGTCATATAGCCTCCTGGTCTGTATCAGCCATCATACAAGACGAACCATACGCACAGCTCGTGGCGCATACCTTTGTCATCGCTGTTGGTTGAGTGGGTGGCGAGCAAGTACCGGTAAACCAAAGTTGTGCGACACGGGCGAGAGAGCACAAAAAACTGCTTGAAGATGATGCGGCGGGTCATTTTTCCCGCTTGTCCGTTACTCTTGCGCTCACAATCTCCGAGCGCTCTATAGCCTCCTGGTCTGGATTAGCCACCACGCAAGACGGAGCATACACACAGCTCGTGGGGCATACCTTTGTCATCGCTGTTGCTTTACTGAGTGGCGAGGGAGTACTGGTACACCAAAGTTGCGACACGGGCAAGAGAGCAAACAAACTAGTTGCTGGAGCGGTGGGCATTATTTCAGCGTGCTGTTGACTCTCGCCACCTCAGTTTCCGTGCCTCCTATCGCCCCGTGGTCTCTATCAGCCGCCACACAAGACGGATCATACCCACAGCTCGCGAGGGATAGCTTTACAGTTGCTGCTGCTTCACTCTGTGCGGGAATATCACCGAAGAACCAAAGCGGTGGAAGGGGTATGTACATATGTGACAACGGCCGTTCGTTGCAAGGTCTCTTTTTTTCTGTACATGACTCGGAAGAGATAAAAGATCGACCAGCACCATAAGAAGGGGGCCATCTTTTTTGTAGATCCCTTTTTGGGTCGTCTCTTTGGCGGGAAAAAATATCTTTAAAAAAAGACACCGCAAGGAATGGCCAAGGCCAGTTGTCATGGAAAAAGTTCCCAGATGGGAATCCGGAGGACCGTGAGAAAATGCTCCACCCCCCCTAAAAGCAGGAGGTATGTATGCGTACTGGATAGCAAGCAGAGAGCACCAAAGCGCTTTGTCAGTTCGTCCTCGCCGCACAGACCCCTGTTTGTCATCTAACCAATAAGGATGTACACCACTACCGTGAGCTTCTCGGAGCCAAGTTTGGGCAGCTATAGTGCAGTGTGCGTATGCCTTAGATACGAGTGCAAACTCACCACTTCCAGTTTCGAATTTCAAGCAATTCCAGCTGGGAATTCAGGAGGAATTCCAACCAGGATCGTCCAGCAATTCCAAATTGGAATTCCTATTTTTACACAGCATGATGAACGCACACTGCACCCCAGCTCCCCAAACTTGGCTCGAAGAGGATCACAGCAATGCACTGCGCGGTCTCGAAGGTTTGGATGCCAACGGGTCTCTGTGAGGCGAGTACTGAGTGCCAAAAAAAAACGCTTTTTGTGTGCTTTTCCAACGAAGTACGCAGAACTCCTGCGGCCTCATGTGGGTTTAGATGTAAAAGGCGTAAAATCAGGATTCCAAATCGGAAAATTTTCCTCAACAATTGGATTACACCCTCGCGCAGAAATTTGGCAACGCACGAACGTGTGCGTTGGAGCGTGTCTGTCTGTGGTTCGTCGCTGATGTATAGCATTTTACGCCCTGCTTGCTTCCTTGTTGATCTTTGGTTGGCGGGCGTGGGGCGTGGTTAGATGCGTCATGGTTGTGGCAATTGCTTTTGAAATAAAATGTCCGGCTTTGATGAAAATGTCAAAGAGTGTGAAACACTTGGGTCCGGCCGGGGCCTTGTGTATTTCAAAGTCAGGAGATTAAGCTGTAGGAACCAAAATTAAGAGGTTCGTTTTATTTTCGCCCGACCTGATCATGGTCTTTCGACCATCGTTACAATGGTAATCATAGGGTGAACCAAAGCCTGTTAGATCTGGGGTCCACCACCTTTGAGTTGTGATGCTGTGACACTTCGCCAACTTGTATGCATGTATTTCTTTCGGACAATCAACCCATTATTTCCTAAAAAAAAAGCATGCAAGCATCTTTTTATTTTCTCGTTTGGTGGGCGCCAACTCTGAACTTCGAAGGAATATGTACACTACACAGCAGTACCGTAGTTCGGACATCCTTGCGTGTGCATCATCTTACAGCAGTATCATACGATCCAACGCCTCTTGGACAAACAGATTGCTGGCTCAACTGGCAAGTGCTGGTGGTATAATAAAACCTCGACGGAAGCCCCTCGGTCGGCGAGTGATTGTGATCACGAAAGATCCCGCCGACAGCGTTTGCGCAATTAATTGCTGTCGTGTGTACTACGGTACAGAGTAAGAGGGCGTGGCGAAGAACGGGCGAAAAAAAAGAGCGCACATCTATGCTACAGAGTACATTTTGGTACAAATCTACAGCAGAGATGTTTTTTTGCCTGCCAGCAAGACTACTATAGATTGTGGATCCGTGGATCCGTGTGTGGGTGTGGTGTGTACGTGTACAGCAGTCGTACGCGTTGTGTATCTGTTTTTTCAAATCCAAGCACGTACCGAAGTGGTCTCGTTCTCGATGCCAGCTGACAGCTGGATTAGTTACCACGTAAATGGTACATACCGTACGAGTCGGAGAGTTGGCACCGGGTGCGATCGTGTTACTAAATGTTTTTTCCTCAGCTTTTTTATCGCACCCCGGTGCCATCTCTCCTACCCCGGTCGGTGCGGAAATGCAATTAAATCATTTCGTTTAGAATTTTCAAGGCACCCCGCCGGTGCGATCTCTCCGACCGGTGCGATCCCCGATGAAATAAATACACACAGGTGTTGCACCCCGGCGCGATCTCTCCGACCGGTGCGATCCCCGTTGATTACACACAGGTGTTGTATGCACACACCCCGGTGCCATCTCCCCAACCGTTGCCATGCGTATTGATTGGTACCAGTGTGGGTACCCACGCACGCACACGGTCTTCTGCACACACGCGCATATCTGAGCCGTAAAAAAGGCGGCGAAATACAATCGTACGTAAAGGAGTGGCGCTCCGCTGACTCCGTCCCCTCGTCCCCTCGTGTCAAAGGTACGCACATGTACTTGAAACCCATTCCGGCAGCTGAAAATGAGTCAATTGAATTTGGGGGTCGAAGACATCGCACCCGTGGGGGTCGGTGAGATCACACCCGGTGCGATCTCACCGACCCCGGTGCGTAAATCGAACTAAATGTTTTCTTCTCGGGTTTATATTATGATCGCACCCCGGGTGCCATCTCTCCGACCGGTGCCATCTCTCCGGCCCGTGCCGACTCTCCGACTTTTGCGTATGTAAGCTAGCTGGCTCTGTGTTTTGGTGGATCGAAACACCATGCTCTGAGATGATTGCAACGTTTACCTCTGCTTCTCTCCTAACCTGCGCTTCGTCCCTGTACTGCTACTGCGGTCACGGTGGATCTGCGCAGCGTTTGTGCGTATACAGCAGCAGCATACAATGCGCATGCACTTGGTGGGGAATATGAAGATCTCTCCGTTCTGCTATGCATATGCATACAAATAATGACACGAACAGAATGGTGGTTGTTACGGGTGGACAGCTGCTGGCCCTCTGAACTCTGAATGAACAGCATTTTTCGTGACGTTTCCGCTTCGCAAACTCTGCTGCTGTGTGTGTACCAAAACACGCGATGGACCAGAAAATTTCAGCGCAGGTTGTTGAGCGGCTGAACAAGGGGCCTCGGCCGTCTTTCCCATTCCAGCAACCCGGCCCGTGGCCGTAAGAGTGCCTGTTCTTTCTCTTCGGTATTCTGCCCTGGGTCCCGCTCTCTACATCAGATAGGTTGTACCAGCACACAGCTCGCTCTTTCAGAGCCGAAAGGCCCGTCGCTCTGAAGAGCACTTGTGCGTTGATCGAAACAGTCATTTCGTCGCTTCGGAGCGGCCTTCACGAAGACACTACTTCATCCCGAATTCCCCTCGTCGTGCTCACCTGCTTGATGATGAAAGAATCCCCGGCTTCCGACCAGCAGACGATGTCATCCGAGACGGACTCCACCATGCGGAAAGTGCGGTCTAGAAACACAGGGATATTATTGTTGAAGGGCTCCTCCGCCTGGGTCGGCGCTGGAGTTTCAGCTTCGGCAGCTGGCTGCTCCGAAGAAGACAGGGGAGAAGACGCTGGTGCGGCGTGCTCCCGCACGTCTTGGTCAGTGGTGTCGGCGTTCGCGTCTTGCGCTTCTCGCTCCATGATCCTTGCAGGGCGCTAGGCTGAAAGGCGTGCTTGGCTCGAAAGGTGTGTCTGCTCCATGTAGTTTGCTGTCGTTGTTGTTGCCTCGAAGAACACCAAGGACACCTGGCCATGATGTGTCCAACACATCAAACTTTGATGTGTTGGACACGAGCGGATCTGTCACGTTGAGAGCGCAACCTGCGCTCGCTGTGTCGCTGTGGTGACGAAATAAAAAAATTATTCATCTCTACGTCTTCCTGACCCAACGAATCCATCTCTTCTACGTCTTCCTGTCATAGAAACAGCCCGCGAAGGACTTCGTCCCACCCCGCTTGCCCGCCGATCTCACTCACCTTCGAACGGCATCGCAAACCCTCGCGTGTTTTCCCCCTCCCTCTCTCATAGTCTTTCTGGGTGTGTGTTTTTTGTTTTAATGCCCTCGTAGGTGTGTTCTTCTTGATCTTGCTCTCGCATCGAAAACTCGTCCCGTCCAGTCAGTCCCGAGAGCCCGAGCAGCCCACCCCAAGAACTTGGTATGTTGGGAGGAACTTGAGCGAAAAGGCCGGGCGGGTCCTGACGATTTTTTCTTGTGGATAATGTCGTCCGTGGTTGGGTGATGTCGGCGCAATTTCCGCTGTCGAACCATTATCCGTCGAGCCGGGAGATAGATGGTACTGTAGGTGCAGACAAACAACGCAAAGCGAATTCTACGTACACCGCTGCCGCCGCTTCGCCTCCCAATCAAGCCCGCGTCCCTAACTTGTTTCTCCGATCATATATTATACTATACCATACCGTATGGTATGTAGTCTATTATGCGTATAGATAGTAGCACCAGCGGGTTCCATATCACTGATGATGATATAAATCATCAGTGTGTATATATATAGTCTAGACTACACAAACTCTATCTATCGAACTAAGTCCAGTCCCAGCCGGTTTTCCTCGTCTCACTGACAAGACTCCGCCACCACATCGCGTTCGACTGTGGGTATTATATCTCGAACGGGTACGTGTAGTCTCTCCGTGTGTGTGTTTGTGTTTTATTTTTCCAGCACAGCCACCCCCACAGACAGCAAGTATAATAGTAATAAATCGTCAGTCAGTCGTGTGCAGGGAGAAACAGACAGACTCGAAATGAGTCCAGTACCCAGCCAGTTTCCCTCCACTCACTCAAAGACTTCATTCAGCACATCCCCTTCGACTGCTGCTGCTGTGTGTGGTTATTGGAACGGGCATAAGTCTGTGTTTTTGTCTCTATCTCTCCTACAATCTCCTAATCAACTAATTATCGATGGCGAGAGTTGGTTCTTTTGTGAGTGCTGCTCGCTTCCTGTTTTTTTAATTTTTTTCTTAATATGACACAACGAATCCATCTTCTTCTTCTATAGAAAAAAAAGAGTCTGAGACAGAGTAGCAATGAATTCAGAGCGTCAGAAAGTACGGTTTCCCAGACAGCATATAGGGACATCTCCCCTCCGGGTAACAGGCTCAACAACAAGACAGTTCGCTTCCTGTTTCTTTTTTTTTTTTTTCTTAATAGGACACAACGAAACCATCTCGATCATACATATTATTCCTTAATACATAGAGTCTGAGACAGACTAGCAATGGGTTCATAGCGTCAGAAAGTACCTGTATGTCTACGATTTCCCAGACAGCATATATATAGGGACATCTCCCCTGCGGATAACAGGCTCAACAAGACAGTTTGGTAGCTGTCTTGTGTGTCTCATATATGTTATGTTGGGAAGGTGCAGATGATATGTGTTAGGTACTGGTCGGGCGTTTTGTGTGTGGCACCCTTTTTTAAGCGTATTTTCAATGTGGTACGCGTATGTACCAGGTATTTGGGTTGTATATGTGTGAATACATTTCGGAGTATGTGCGGACACACGGGCATATACATGACGGTAACTCGGAATTTGTTGTTAGTTGCTGTTGTTGTTGTTGTTGTTGTCTTCACATTAAAATAAAAAAACCGTTCCGATCTTCTCTCTCTACCCAGTAAGTACCTTCGTATGTCCGTACTGATCCAACACTCGACGCGGTCGATTCCCGTGGTGACAGGTTAACTTACCCTGAAAAGGTACACTCAAATTATCTGGTCCCGAGGGGTCCGCAAGTCAATAGAAACCAACCACAGATGACACACCTCCGAAATGGAACGACCAGTTTTTTTGTTAATATAGAATATATGTATGATACATGGATTTTGTGGAAACTGCTGTGCGTGGATTCACGAAGAGAATGATCAGCTGTGGTCGCCCTTTGGTGGCCGTTCACAAATAAGTCCAGTACCCAGCCGGTTTCCCTCCACTCACTGAAAAGACTCCACCACATCCCGTTCGACTGTGGGTATATCTCGAATGGGTAGTCTTTCTGTGTGTGTTTTTATTATTATTCCTTACTTACTGTAGTTAGTTCACCCGCGACCTCCTGACTCTGGAACAGTACATTTTACCATCCGTGCGAAGGGATCTTTACTTCTAAATTTACTGTCTCCTCATTGGTTGGAGATGCGCGTGCGCGCGCTCCCTCGGTGAACCTCTTTTTGGTTCTATTCACAAAGCTCTCCTGGGGTGGGGAAACCCCGGCGCTGTAGCTAGCTACATTTCTCCGCACGCCGCGCACGAGGTGCGCGTGCTGTGAAGGACGGACAGGGCGGCCGTGCTACCTTATCGACACGTAGCCTCTAGAGGGAGGCATTGCATAGCGTGGCTTCCACCGTTGGCCACCACAGCAGCGGTCAGTCGTTGATGCAAGGAGGTGAGCGGCATGCTGCCGAGCACGGGCTCTGCTGGCGGCGCGCATCATGATGCTGATCATGATGCAGGCGCGGATGACTGCGTGGATGGTGCGGCTGGTCGCCAGCACAAGCCGTTGTCGCACCCCTTGCCCGCAGCCCCATGCGCGAACACTGGAGAGAGTTCCAACTTCTTGCAGCAAAACCCTCCTCGAGAACGGACAGCGACCTCTTCCGGTAGCGAGCCGTCGGGCAATTCCCATCTGTCGGTCAGCGGCGCGCCTGGCGGTGTAGCCACCGTCGCGAACACATTTCCTTGCGACACTCCTGCGGCTATCGGAGAGGCTTGCAGAAGTGTGAGTGGACGTGAATCACCACCAGCGAAACGCCACGCGTCGCAAAGCCCATCATCCCGGGGGAGTTTGGGACGAGATGCAAGAAATTCATGCGAGGGCTTCGGGGCCGGTGAACGTCGCGGCAGGGTGCTGCACTCGTTCCTTGCTACAGCTGTGCAGATGTCCCAAGCATCGGAGGCCTTGGGGACGCCAGGGGAGCTATCAGGTGATGGTTTCGAATTCGCGGAACCACATACGCCCCTTTCGTCTGCCATTGGGGTACATACGGGACCGGGATACTGCTCTACCGGTACGCACGGGCCGAGTGCACCACTATAATACTACATTCGGAGGTAGAGGGAGTAGCGCAGCTAAACTATGAACGCTCACGCCAACTTGGAGCAATGTTGCCACCATGGCAGCGCCTAGCCAACGAAGTGCGGTGGCGACCGCAGCAGCAGCAGCAGCAGCAGCAGCAGCAACAGCAGCAACAGCAACAGCTGTCAGCCGCCGGTTGCTTTGGAGGGGTATGGCCGCCGCCCCGGCCGCCGCCACGGCTTTTGATGGCGCAGCAGGGCGCAGCTGGCGGGGCGGTGTTAACAGCCGCAGCGGGATAGACGGGTATGTCAGCCACTTCCGCCGCTGCCGTTGCCTGTGCAGCAGAGGACGGCAGGTGGCTTCGTCGGTGACGCCCTGAACGGCCATGGTTTACATTTGGTTTTGCAGCAGGGCGCACCGCATGGTTCAGGGACAGGCGGTCATGAGGAGGAAGACGAGGGGGGGGGGGGGGGAGCAAAGGATGCCTCCAGCGGAAAGCCCGTCCCTGTCATCGTGCCTGCTAATGCTACGTTGGCGAAGCGCAGCTGGTGCTGTTCGAAAAGCAAGACAGTTACTTCGATTTGTCGTGGGTGTCTCAAACGATGGCATTGCCACGTCGACCATGGGCTGGTCGACCTTACCAAGGATCGCTTCATTTGCTGCTTCTGCGATACGAAGACGAAGTCGGCATGTCTGTGTCACGCGTGAGTACCCAATATCGTTTTTCGCTGTTCAGTTTCTTTGTTCAATTGCAATTCTCTTTAATTATATGACCAAGAGTGATGTGCCAAATCGAGTTCTCGGATGCTTCTCGCACACGTGGGTGTCACCCGATTCGATGCCACCCATGTGGTTTGTTTGAGAGGAATATGCAACAATATCTTGACTTCCACAGCGCTCGCGCAGCCTGGTAGGCTGTCACCTGTTTTCACCTAGTTACTCCGGGAATGTTGCTGGTGATCTGTATCGACTCCAACTTTTCTGGTTGCTTGACCATCGGTGTTTGTTAGGTCTTCACCCTCTCGCAGTGCGACCAAGACCGGAGCGTCCACAATACGACCTGCTCTCAGCGTGCGTGCTGTACGTATACTCATTTCCCCCCCCTCTATTCTTCCCACCATCACATGCTTCGTACTCATACAGGTGCAAGAAGAACAAAGCTGATAAGCGAGCGGCATCCCAACGAGGTCAAGCCGGCCACATCCACGGGAGTAGCGTGTCCCGAGTGATTCACCGCCAGGCTCGAACCAGCGCTTTCAAGCTCCGTCTGCCTCTCACGGTGGCGGCGCGCAACTCTAGAGATAGACAAAAGGCACTGTTTTCGGTCTCCACTACCGCCCGCGGCGACCGTGTCATGGTCATCACCGACGTCACCGCCGAGCAACCTGGTGCGCCTGCAAGCTGCATCGTGAACTGCTGCGATAACCGATGCCACAAGTGAGTCGATGTAGTAGTTGGGGGATGTCACGAAACAACAGTGCTTGTGTGGTGTTCGATACTCTTCCTTCTCACCGGCAAATCTCCGATCGAAACTACACGTTATTGTTGCAACCCAACGCTTGTATAACTCGTTTGGAAAAGAAAGACATTTGCAGGGCACAGGTAGGGGCCCGGCCGTTCTGCATTCTCATTTTATTTTTCGACAGTTGCTGCTCGCTAAATTTATCAGAAATTAATCGGCATATATATTTTTTTCTGACGATGCACTGTCACTTTCACGGTTGCTTTCGTTTGGTTTTGCAGTGTGCAAGCGGAACCCGAGCACGCGCCAAACGCCGAGCAGGTTGCAGCGGGCCAATGTGAGCACGCTGACGTCATTCTCGGAGATGGGACCACTCCGAAGGCGGATATTCCTGAAGCAGAGCCGGTTGTCTTTGGCAAGGATGGGGAAGGGATCGAAAGCGTTGGGGATGCAGCGATAACCCAGATGGTTTTGACTCATGGTTTTGACTCAGGGTAGCTTTGACACCATTCTAAGGATGGCAGCGACTGCAGAGGAGCATGGGGTGCCGCTGTTGATGCGCTTAGGCGAGACTCAGACGTATGTTGTGTACCATCCGGGTCATCGGTCTATTCCTGGCAGCTGGGCACACGTCGAGACGGAT